CCTCTCCTCCGTGCAAGACACATGAAAGTCCGCCTGGAGTTTGCTAAAAAACACCTGAAGGACTCCAAGATGGTGAGAAATAAGATTCTCTGGTCTGATGAGACCAAGATAGAACTTTTTGGCCTTAATTCTAAGTGGTATGTGTGGAGAAAACCAGGCACTGCTCATCACCTGTCCAGTACAGTCCCAACAGTGAAGCATGGTGGTGGCAGTATCATGCTATGGGGGTGTTTTTCAGCTGCAGGGACCGGACGACTGGTTGCAATCGAGGGAAGGATGAATGTGGCCAAGTACAGGGATATCCTGGACGAACACCTTCTCCAGAGTGCTCAGGACCTCAGACTGGGCCGAAGGTTCACCTTCCAACATGACGATGACCCTAAGCACACAGCTAAAATAACGGAGTGGCTTCACAACAACTCCGTGACTGTTCTTGAATGGCCCCGCCAGAGCCCTGACTTAAACCCAATTGAGCATCTCTGGAGAGACCTGAAAATGGCTGTCCACCAACGTTTACCATCCAACCTGACAGAACTGGAGAGGATCTGCAAGGAGGAATGGCAGAGGATCCCCAAATGCAGGTGTGAAAAACTTGTTGCATCATTCCCAAAAAGACTCATGGCTGTATTAGCTCAAAAGGGAGCTTCTACTAAATACTGAGCAAAGGGTCTGAATACTTATGACCATGTGATATTTCAGTTTTTCCTTTTTAATAAATCTGCAAAAATGTCAAACGTTCTGTGTTTTTCTGTCAATATGGGGTGCTGTGTGTACATTAATAAGGAAAAAAATGAACTTAAATGATTTTAGCATATGGCTGCAATATAACAAAGAGTGAAACATTTAAGGGGGTCTGAATACTTTCCGTACCCACTGTATATAGGCTACAGCCATAGGCCTATTCTTACACGACAAAAAAAATGTGAGAAAATGTTCTATATATCCATTGTCAAATGGATATGTAGAAATAAATGTCAAATCAAAAATGTCCCCATGCCAGAAATCTGTCACAGAGCCAAAGAACTTTAAAGAGAAGTAAACCTGAATCCCAGAATGTCACAAAAACCAAACAGATAAAAACAAGCTTCTCCTGCTGCATATCTAATAATACTTATATATTTACCATTATGGAAGACAGCAGCTCTTGGACATTGACAGCTGGAGCCACAGTGCTGCTAACAGTGTTTGTAGCTTGTGGACTGCGGGAGGTGTTGCTCAGGTTGACCATGAGATTGGCTAGGACAGGTGGCAGCTTGGAGCTCTCGCCCTGGGCCATGGCAGAGCCTTGCTGTGATGTGGTGTCCATGGGCTCAGCATAAGCATCTTCCACCATGGAGGAGTCCTACAATGGAGACAGACAGCTTAGCAAGTAAGGTATTGCACAATGTGTTTCTATTAAAGAGAGAAATATGAGAGGCTGAATGTTGGTGCTTTGGGGTGTGCTAACCTCATCCAGGGGGATGAGACGGGGAGGCATGGGCTCATAAGGCTCTGGGTCTGGTTCATGTGGACTGTCAGGCACACTAGTGATAAGGAAGAATGGGAAACTGTTAACACACACGCAGGCTCTCACCCCAAAATTCTAACATATAGAAACATATTGAAAGCATCAACAGTTCAGATTTTTTAACACTGCCTTCACTTTTTGGAATTTGTAGCCCAAATACCCAGGAAAAATTTAAAAAGCTACCAAAGACACATCCAATATCCTACCTCTCTTTGCTGAGGAAGATCTCCTGCAGTATGCCCATCTCACGGTCTCTCTGGGTGAGTTTCTCTGTGCTGTTGGCCCCGGAGGTGACCAAGCTCCCAGCCAGGGTCAGAGGCCTCGGGGGCGTCCAGGGAACCCTCTCTTCCATGGTGTCATGGGACAGTCGACGGGCCATTTCAAACGTCTGCCTGTCCATCATCAGTTCCCGTTTGGCAGCCTCACCAAAGTCCTTGATCTTGTTGACATTCACTGTGAATAAAGTGCAACAATATCATGAATAATATTTTTTCAGCTGATTTACAGACACACTGCTGTCTGCACTATGTCTTACCTCTCTCCGTCTCATCTAGGTCAAAGTAGAAGTATTGTTTGAGCTGCTCCTCCTCAGCCCAGTGAACAGTCTTCTTCTTCTTGCCTTTCTTGGTCAAGCTTTCCTCTTCTCCACGTGGTTCTGCCAGGGCATTAGGTTTCTCACCTGCAAACGAGAAAATGGGAAACAAATGTGTCAGTTGATCAAGAACGCCATCATTTGCAATGAAACTAGGAAAAAGCTTAAGGTTGTGTCTCGGCTACGCTGTATCCTGGTTTCACCATATACCATGGTATGAAAACTGACGTTATCATACCATGCACATGTGCCTATTACCGGTACTGAAGACAAAACGCAATTGTGTGCACCTTTCCTCCCTGACTGCCCGACAAATGGCAGAAGGGAGGAGACTGACATCACCAAACTCCATCCACTAAAAAAGATTATTTTGGATATCTCAAAAACGATCACCACCCCTCCATACAGAGCAAAGTATGCGTCCCATTTATAGCTTTAATCCCAAACAATAAAATGGGTGAGCGTGTAAACGTCATAAAATGCGCTATCAAAATAATTTCTCACATTTTCTTTTCATTCACTAATCTAACTTACACTAACTCACACTGGTCCTGATCTGAACCTAGAAACACACACACACACACACACACACACACACACACACACTTGCTGGCTCTGATAATTGTTTAGAGCATCATGACGGCAAATAATCAGCAGTTTAATCCCTAATGAAAATATTCAGTAGCTGCACTTGGACACAAACTAGTTCAGCAGAGCTGCAGCTTAACCAGCTAAGACAGTCATGTCCTGCTTTTACATCAGGGCACGAGTGACAGGCTGCTAATGTGATGTCATAGGTGTTACTATAACATTTTTAATACTTTAGAACATTTTTGTTATAAATAGTTACTTTTACTTAACATTTTAATTCCAGGACTTTTACTTATAAGAGAGTAAGCTACTTTAACCGTGTGATATTAGTACTTTCACTTAAGTAAACAATGTGAATAACATGCATACTAACATGCTTAAATTACATACCATGTTATAGTTATGTGCTTTTAAAAAAAATCCATTTTATATCCATTTCTGTTTATTATTTAGGTTCAATTGAGCTGTGTAGAACAGCTCAACTTGACAGTCACAATCACTTTCAATAGAAAAAAAGAGCCTTCTGTTCTCTATTCCTTTGAGACTCATAGCTGATACCAAATAAAGGTAGATTATGTAATTTTGTAAACCATAACATTGTGACTTCTTCTGAGATGGTTATCATACTGTAAAAATCCCGTATCACTGCGATATTAGTGTTTTGTCAAAGAAACTCATTAAACTCCTATAGGTGAGAATCTGTAAGGACCTTACCATTGTCTGAGGCCTCAGGGTCCTCAGAGGGAACAGGGGTCCCAGGTTGCTCTGGCTCCTGGTTTTCATCAGGTGTGTTGGGAGCAGCAGTTTCGGGAGACGATGGTTTCGTAGAGGATGAAGAATATACAGAGGTTTTACTGTCGAAGGGATTGGCCTGACAAGAAAACCAGAACAAGTGAGACACGTTTTAGATTATATTTGACAAAAAAGACAGAGGTGGACAGCGAACAGTTTCTAATTCTTGGAGGTCTTGCATGAGACGGACAGACCGATGTTCTGATTATCCATTTACTATTTCCATCAGTAGAAGCAGCAGCACATTATGCTTGGTTAAAAATATCAGAGCAGAATTATATTTATTCTGATTATTAGGGGAAAATAAAAACAATTTAATATACAATTTATGTATATTAAAAACATTATACTGTACAAAAATGTAAATTTTTTTCATTTAAAAAATATTCTGAGGATGTTTTCGACTAACACTGTCTAGAATATCTGAAACTACTAAGCTCTGTCAGTACCTTGTTAGAAGTGGGGGAAACAGCCTTGGTACTGGCTGTAGTACTGGCACTCAGCTTCTTCTTCTTGATCTTGATCCCGGGCACTGGGGCAGAGTTCAGAGCATCTAAGAATCCTGTGCACTCCATTGCTGCAGTGTGGACACAAAGGAGCAGTAAACACCACAGTGTTGTGCTACATCAACACTCACTCTTAAAAAACACAGCTAAAATGTGATGTGTGTTGGAACTTACGTTGTGCTGGAATGATCTTGACTTTGATCTCTTTGGCAGAGTTAGACGGGGTATTTAGAGGTTTGTATTTTTTCTCTAGAGGTGGAGCATCTGATGGACCAGAGCTGTTGAGGGAAAGCAACATAAACATGTCAGTAATATCATCAGCCACCTGTGAGAACCAATGAGTCAGGGAGGTGACAGGCCTGTGTACCTGGGCCTCTTGAGGACTGGAGGCTTGATGTTGTACTTGTCACCCAGCTGTGGGGCAGCAGGTGTCTTCTTAGCAGGGGCCAGGCTGGGAGTGTCCATTTCCAATCCTACACAACAGGAGCCATACCGATTGTTTTTACGAGCTTTTAAAAATCAAATGTTCAAGGTGGACTACAACACTCCTCAAAATGTTACACGTACCTATGGAGCGAATCTTTGTGTGGCTGGGTGCATGAGCTTTGGGCTTCTCCTTCTTCTTCTCCTCATCTCCACTCTTTTCCTTCACATCCCTCACCGGCATTCGGCTCTCCTCTTTCTTTTTTTTCTTATCTAGAAGATATAGTGCATCATACAAACGGTTGTGAGAAGGAGGAACTGTGAACAAAGAGGCACTTATAAAGGTAACCCGATTAGGCTGTACCAGCAGGAGAGTTGCCACTGCTTGAGACGCTCTGGGAGCGGATAGTTGCCATCCAGCCATCTACAAGCACAGATGCCAGCTTCCTCAAGTCTGAAACAAAAGCCAAGAACATTAGTGGAGTGCACACTGCTGTCTGTGCAAACGAGTCTGGATTTTTGATGTTCAAGCAAACTGACCTTCAGTCTCTGCACTCTTGCTCAGCTGCTTCACCAGCTTGGCCGTGTTGTTCTGGGAGAATATAAAAGCAGGTTTTGTTTTTACAGCTGCCTGCATAGGGTATTGGAAGTGTGTCTGGTGGATAACCAAAGGCAGTACCTGTTTGAGGTGGTCCACTTTGAGAGGCAGCTTCTGCAGTGTGAGCAGGATGAGCTGCAGCAGGGGGGTGTTACTGGTGGTTTTTGAGTAGGTGAGCCAGGAGTTGAGCAGCCTGTAGCCACCAACTCTGATAAAGCTGCATGACAAACAGAACAACTGATTTAGAATGAAGGATGAATTGAGGTATTAAGGAATCACAGATTTTACTTTCAGATCAACAAACGTGTTAACACATGGTGATAAATACTCAAATGATCACAACTTTTTAAAGTGGCAATTGCATTGTTTGATCTTCACCAAAGTCACAAATATCAACAAACACAATATTTCTAAGCTGATAAAACACAAACAGTCATGATCTTTCATTGATCAGATTCCAAGTTTGCTGACATTTAGCGATATCAGAATCCTGGCGCTGCCATTACTTTTCCCACCATCACTTTGTATGTTTAACTTGCGTGTTCAATAAAGACATGAAAGATCATGACATGTTTTACCAGCTTTATCAGTTTGTTGATATTTGTGACTTTGGTGAAGATCACATCACATCACATTTCAGTTATACCAATTTATGCAGAAAACCAGGAAATTGCAAACAATGCATTACTTTTTCTTGTAACTGTATACCAAGACTTGCAATAGATAGTGTATAAAACTGAAATAAGGCCTACCGGTTAAGAACATCGTGAGATTTTGTCTGCAACAGGATGTTGAGGTACATACATCTACTGACCATCTTGGTAGAAGCTTTCATAAGGCTGCATTGACAAAGAGCAAGGATGTTAAGATATATCCTAGTGTTAAGAGTTATGAGCTGTTACAGCTTCAAATGTGAAGGCACAGAAATGCTCATCTAATTTCAGTTCCTCACCTAAACACCTTTGGGACTCCCTCCAGGCTGCGGAGCTCTCCATCCTTCCCTAGCAGGTTCTCCACACCCTTCAAAATCTCTCTGGGGTCCACTGGTCCCCCTGCCATATCTGGAATACACACATCAAACAGTTAATACACATACCAACAGAACTTGGGTGTATTACATTTATGATATGTACAAGCAATCTTTCATCTTTAGTGATATTTAAGAACTGTTCATTCAGGACTATTTGCCTGTCAAATAGAAAATTGAGCTCCATGCTACAGAACTCCACCCAGACCATTTTTTAGGATTTAGGACTGAACAACTCCTTTCTGTTCTGTTCCAAAAGTCTGAAGCCACAGAAACGGGTTCATGTAAAACTGCATCAGGCCAACAAGATCACTACGGTCAGATTCACCCCATCCTGAAACACCACCTAGATTCCACTCTGAATCCTCTCACTTTATCAGTAGACAACACCACCAACCTGCTGGCATCAAGGTAATGCAATCAACATAAAGTAACTGATGCCAAAATCAGGAGATCAACACCATGAGGCGGCCATCAACATTTCTTCAGATTCACTGAGGTTTGAGCTGCATATTTATGAAGCTGCCAAACAGTCCTACTTACAATCCAAGTAACAAAGTTGTGATTCAAGATTCAATTCTACTCTGATCTGCTGTCCAGTATCTGCATATCAGGGAAAAAAAGAAAGAACTATCCCACACTATCTGGATTGATGATCTGGCAATCAAGGTGACATACAAATCATTAAAAGTACAGCCAGCAGCATCGTCCTCCAGCCACACAGCATTCTGTTGTTCTGGCAGTCAAACATCCACAGCGCACGACAGCTTCAGTGTACTGCCTCATACTTGGGATGTTTGTGAGATGCTTCACGGGGCCAACTCGACACCAGTTCATCTAGAACAAGGGCAGGACACTGTAGCATAATCCTGTCTAGGACGATTTTTTTGCACGGCAGGACATTCAGATATAATTTTTGTGTGTGAAGCAACACTGTGTATTCCAGTTCAGTCTAGGCAGCAGCAATGTAGACAAAAAAAAAAGTTTTTAAAACTAGTGCATTACACATTGACAATAAACTGACTTTTTGTGTTTATCATTTCATTTCAACTATTTACCTACTCATTAACAAAGAATAGACCTAAATGGGGGAAAAAAAACTCTACCCAAGTATTAATATTATTTATATGCATTCAACATACATAACTATTATTTGTTTTCACATCTCTATATGTATCAAACACAAGAGGTAAGTTGTGTTAAAACAAAAGTGGCCAAAGTGATTTCTGCAAGAAATGTTACTGAAGTTTTTTTTTTTAACTTTTTAATAGCATGTCTATCACATTCACATTTGTGCAAAAACAAGGAGAATGGGAACAGAATGGAAACATTAAAATCAATTATCCCTTGTAAAAAAACAAAAACAAACATTTTTCCCACTAAAATAACATTGGTATTTGCTGAAAAGATGAATGGTAGCCTACAATTCAAATTATATGCTCCACCAAATTAAAACATGCTTCTTAATTGTATGAAGTGCTTGAAAACTGTATTATTAATTACTAGTCTGCACCCTTCTTAATGTTAAATGTCAGGCTAAAGGTTGGACTAGTGTTAATGAGATCACTGCCAACCCTTCTGGCCAATCAGGTCACTTACTGCCACCTACAGGTTAGTTTTTGTTTACACACTTGTACAGTGCTGTCTGTGTAGTTACACAATTTAGAAATGTTACAAACACAACTGTTAGTGCAACATTACGTCAGTGGTCTGAACTGTAAACAAATTTGTCACTGAATGGTGATGATGTTTCAGATTATTAACACATCTACTTATCCTTAAAATGTCCAATATGAAATAGTCAAGACTTCATTAAATGACTGCTTTTACTTTTATGATTTTAAAATTATCATGATAAAGGGTCTTATTTAACCTTTTAGGCTAGACTATACACACACACACACACTTGGTTGAGCCTTGTATGCATGCACTCATTTTCCCATGTTTATGCATTTTATAACAAAACCATTTTTGCACCAATTTGTACAGAACCTGCAATTCTAGTGGAAATTAATTTAGTGGAAATGTCATGATGTGAGGAATCAGTTAGGTCTTACCCGTGTAACTGTTGTTGTAGAAGTTTTATATAGTCTCAGACCTCCACAACACTGCAAATAACCAAATTCCTGTAAATGTCACAATTGTTATACATATACACATCAGTGTTAAACATGGCACTGGTTCCTGGACGAGTGGGGAAGAGTAAGATTATTTGTGCGGTCAAACTGTGATGTCATTACATATCTCTGGTACATTTTGGCAAAACAATCTGACTGTTCTGATGACCAAGCCTTCTATAGGAAAGTATTTTTAGAACAGTTGCACAACAACACTTGACTATGAATAAGTAAATGAGGTATATTCATCAAGGACAAACACAATGAATCAAATGACACTGTAAAACGCCCTCGCAGCGGTGCAGGCGGCCTATAAAAGGCTTGTGCTTATCCCGTCCTAGCTGAAAACAGGCCTGCAGAGGGGAGGGGGCAGGAGGCTGGCTGCTAATTTGAGCCCTCCCTCTGTTAACCACTTCCACAACGGCAAACCGTTCACTGCGTGAACAACAGTGGCTATCATAGCAAAGACCATACTGACTGACAGAAAAACAAGGTACCAAACACCAGATATCTAGCGAACCGTACGCGTATAGCAGTCTGACAATGCGATGAACATCAGTCTATACTTGTTCTGCATTTCAGTCACTAAAACGTCCCAAATGTTGGTCAGAGAGCGCGGCTAGCCCCCCGAGCTGTCCGGCAAGCAAACAACTATTCCACCATATTTGCCAATCCCGACTGTTTGTGCTTCGAAAGACCATTTCGCTTGAGTCATCCTGCAATCTTTATCCACAGATTGCCGAGAACATGATGCGGGGTTTCGTTAAGTCTCTGTGCTATAATTACCAACATTTCACCATATATCACCGGCACATGTCCACAATCTTCAAACTAATGCAATCTTTATGTACAGATTGCTGTGGGTGTTCGTTCCGCAGAGCAGCCCCTATAAAGCAAATTTGGCAGGCAAAAAGTCCGACTTCATTATCTTAAATTTGCTTTCTGTGCCTAAGGCAATCTTTATGATTAGATTGCTTATGGTTATTTTTGCGGATTCACTGGCTAGTTTTATTTGTTCAAGTCGCCCATTCCGTCTCACACACAAAGAAACGGAGCCTTGCGCTTCCGTACACTTTCCTGTGTGAGCTCATACGAAAACTGACTATATTCAAATTGTTTGCTAAGAACCAACCTAACGTACGTTGCCTGCTAGCCAGCTACCGCTAGCTAGCCTACTATCTACGACTATTTTCATTTGAGGAATTTCGATTCAACTTCAAAAGTCAACTTACTATTGATACTATAGATCCTCAGCGTCTCGGGTATAATATAGTGTGCTTTCAAGCACTTATATATCTTGTTTCATAAACTTTATATCATTAACCTTCATGGTTTTTTTTTTATCAAATGAAAGACTTCTTATGGGTGGGGCTGTGATAGCTAAAAGCTAGCCTTTCCTTCAGGAACAAGGTGGAGGCAAAAATAGTAATCAAATGTCCATTACTTGAAGAAAAAAATATGAATTTGAGTAGAGTTGTTCAAAGTCCTCGACGGTTCAGTCTTCGGCAAAGCAAATTCATACCTGCAAAACACACAAAAACACATATTCAATTTCAGCAGCCATAGTTTTCTCGTCTTTCGCCTTTTGTTGTTTTATGAATACATTAGGTAGGAATCTCGAACTAAGCAAAGAGTGGAAAATACGCCTTACTGTCCTTATAACTTCACTTACCTTTGACCAAATCCAGGAATGAGCTCGAGAGGAGGGACCTCGCTTTTATAGACGTGACGTTTTTCACGTCATCGGTAGCATTTTTTCCCCTCTCGACGTTCGCAGAAACAAAATGGTGGCTAATGACCTTCTCTTCCTAGTGAAGGGTATAATGGCGTTTCTCACATTTAGAAACTGTTATCTTTAATTACTTCATATAGCGTTCTTTAAAATATTGCGTTATGGCATCAATGGGGATATACCAAGCAATGCTAACGCATTTGGTTGATTTAGCTGGATTGTACATGTTCTTTTATACATAATTTTTGTTTTTAATATTTATTCAAAATGGCGCCTGACTTGTCTGTCACTGCCCTCGTGGCATGGATGAAATGCGACAGAGATAAAGCTATATTTTAACAATCATCTAAACCCAACAAACGTAAACAAAAATGACAGGGCGCGGTTTTGTGCATAATATAACTGATTTATAGATTATCACACTTTAATCTAATACGTATTTCATATAGCTATAATATGATCTTTGACCTTTCACCTACAACCCCACTATGACAGACAATATGGCTGCCTACACTAAAGCAATTGCGAAGGTTTTGTGCGGTCTATCGCCTTCAATTTTACATTCATTACGGCCGTGTCAGGTATTGTATTTAATTGTTCTGATGATATGTTAAACGCCCGATTATATGCAACTTTGCAGTAAGGTCTTTAAGTCGGGAGAAACGCCGGACGTTACCACATGTATATGCCATGCAACATCAATTCGTTAATAGCTAAGCTGTTGACCAGGAGTAATTCCGGTTAATGCACTTGAAAACGGTAATTCATAGGCAGTAACACACTGGAACAGAAGGAATGTCTTAAGTCTAATCTTAAAGGTAGAGAGGGTGTCCACCTCCCGAACTGAGACTGGGAGTTGGTTCCATAGGAGAGGAGCTTGATGGCTAAAGGCTCTGCCTCCCATTCTGCTTTTGTGGACTCTAGGAACCACAAGTAAACCTGCACTCTGAGAGCCAAGTGCTCTGTTAGGATGATAAGGCTCTATAAGGTCTTTAAGATACGATGGAGCCTTGTCATTAAGGGCTATGTCATCTAAAGTAACTATATGATTAGACAGCAGATTTCTAAGGTTTTCAGGCCCAAGCACAATAACTTCGGATTTGTCAGAGTTTAGAAGTAAGAAGTTGCAGGTCAT